TGCAAAATTGAAAGAAATACGTCAAGTTGATATTGACCAAATTTTGACCGTATCACCCTTTAAGTGAAGATGATAGGGGAAATGGCTCTATGTTGGCCTATGTATCTAAGATTAGGCCCATCGCTAAAAATCTGCTATTTATCAATTTTATCTAGATGAACGCGTCATTGGGATGGTACTAATTGATATTTTTGGTCGCTATTGAAATTTTAGTCGATTGCTGAATTTATGTATGGGCCAAAATTAGGGGCATTTAGGCCGACATTCCATGCATTTTCCCTACATTGTTATTTTTAATATTTTTTTTCAAGTGTTACAAACAATACTCCTTTAGCTCAGTCAGTAAAGGCGCAGTTACAAAGCAAGTCCATGCTGGAGGCGACTGAGTTCGATTCCCGTCCGGTATATTAATTTTTCGGGTTGGAAAATTCCTCTACTTCCTTTGGGCATAGGATGGTACAGGCATAAAAAGCTCTCAATTAAAATGTGAAAGTACTTCAAAGAACACAAAGTTGAGAGCAGGCAAAAATCTAATATGCTATAAGCAATAAGTTTGAAATGCTATGTAGTAGTATACAAATGGTATTTTTAGGCAATGAAAACAGTTTTTTTTTTGTCGCGTATTAGTATTTGAAGTCGCGGATTTGTTTTTAGAAATTACGGATTTCGCGGATCAAATTAAGAAAATCTTGCAACAGCCCTGATTTATCAATTCCAAACCATTTTTTAGCTCTTTATAAAATGACAACCTTCAAGTTTTCGAGCACTTCGTTCATCATTTAAAAAGTCAAAGGGTCTATTATGCAATCCAATTCAACCAGTCGGAAACTGTTAAACCTCATCGAAGAATTGTTCGACCTGAGTTGAAGAATTTCTCGTGATGGATTAAAAAATCGGTGCATGGAATGTTGAACTACCGATTACAAATTTATAACATTATTCCACACGTTATTATCCCGAATGGGCATTACCCCGAATCCCTTGCGAAAAACTATTGATTATATATTTTCCTTACATATTAAAAGAAGGGAATATTCCCTTCTTTATCGTATATCCAAAGAATTAATTATTTCCTTTTCTTATATTTTCAAAGAACGGAAAAGCCCTTGATCCATTAAGAAGTTTTTCTCTTCTTTTTATATACGTGAAAGAAGATTCCAGGAGTGACTATAATAAACAAAAATAGTCAATCTAATACATGGCATACTTTTCTGGGTAATGGTATATTCTGGGGAATGGTTCATACTGGGGAATGATTTTCTGGGGAATGTTATAGAACCAATAATTATTATTCGATGCAATATGCACGCTATTCTGAGTCTACTCAGTGATTGGGTAGATTCCACTCATTCTTACGTGCAGTATGAAGTTGTCAAAAAATGAGTAAGCTAGATTTGTTGTGATGAGTAGAGTCTACCCAGATTCTGGGTAAATTGCAGTAATTTATTTTTTCCAAAGTTTAACATGGCGAACGCTGATCAAAATGATGTTAGCGCAGTGAATTAATTTCAAGTGGTACCTAACTGCTAAACAAGAAGTATAGCTACAAAACGGTGTGGATTGCGAAAGCTGTCAGCAGCTAGCTGGTAAGTAAATTGTTTATATTTGGATTAAGAAGTTCATTTTAACTTTCCATTATTCAGGAATTCTGTGCCTTATTCCATTGTAAGAATGGACAACAATCCCTCAAAAATGTTGTTTGCCTCGAATCCGGCTGGTGCAAGATGCAGAGGTCCACAATGAGGTAGGTGATTAGATCAAGTGGAACAAGATCTATGAAGCGTGGGACGCTCGAGAAACTGGACAAAAGCAGCCATGAACCCAGTTAGCTGGCGCCTTGGTTTGCGCAATATTGTGATGCAGGTGAAATCCTGGGGAAATCTGGACCAGAAAAAGTGAAAGTAAAGTGTCCTATTCCTGGCTCTACCATGCAACCAACGAACCAGTACAGATCCCGAAAGTGTGTGAAGTTTGCTACTTGCATCGCTCTCCAACTTATTGCAGGAAATCTTCAAAATCTTCATCACTCTTTTTTATCTACTAAGTGTGCACGCATCTCACAACAGCAAAGCGAAATTTTTCCTGGATCGTAGATAGAGTCCCCCCCCCCCCTCGGTCATCTGGTGTAAATTCAAAAATATTACAAAACGAATATAGATTAAATTTGATGCAGTTTATGTTTTTTTCGAAATTTATACATTGGTTCGATTAAAATTTTCGTCAAAATTATACTAAGTCCGAATAACGGAGTGTAATTCGATCAGTGTTTACTGAAATGATAGGAAAAAGAACATGTGGATTCTCTTCGGAGCTTCGTGCTGGTGAAGAGCTTCGTCCCGGCGGATTTCTACTTCACCTGTGATCTGCTGGGCAGCTAGACTGCGTGAGCACGAGTTCATTCTAATGAACATCGAAATTGGGTTGTTTAACTTTGAAAACTATACCGATTTTTATATATCATCTGATAGAACTTCGTTTTCTGAACACAACGATATTTGCCATGCCATTCAATTGACTTGATCAACTCATTTGAATTGAAAAAAGTTGAACCAGGTTCAACTTTTCAAGCCAATTGAATTCAACTGAGTTGATCAATTGACTTGCCCTGTCTAAACCCAGCTTAACAGCTCGCTCCCATACAAAATCCCACCAAGGGGCGCTAAGATGGTGAATTTTTGCTATTTAAAATAGTTCCAGTGTACTAAAATTGATGAAATTTTGGATTTTGGTTCCATTTTTAATGCAGATTACGAATATGTATTTACCTCAATACCCCTAAACAACCCAATCAACCACTTCATTCGAGCATTTAAAATGACGTTTACTACCACTTGAACTTTGAAATAAAACATTATTTTGAGATTTTTTCTTCTAGTACCACGAGGAAAGTAGCCAAAATTTGTGCATTTCATAAAAAAATATAAATTAGTTGGTCCAGTTTTATGAAATCGCTGGTAGAAAATCATACCAAAACTGCTTGACAAAGTGGTCAATTGGGTTGTTTAACTTCGAAAAATATACCGATTTGTATACATCATCTGATAGAGCTTCGTTTTCTGACCACAACGATATTTTAATCGATCGCGTAGACATTCATCTCGAATTTTAAATCAAGATTAAAATTTTTGATCGTTGACACTAAATCTATTCGTTGACAGCTCGCTCTCATACAAAGTCCCACCAAGGGGCGCTAAGATGGTGATTTTTGCCAATGTAATCGTACTTATTTAAAATAGTTCCAGTGGACCAAAATTGATGAAATTTTGGATTTAGGTTCCATTTTTAATGCAGATAACGAATATGTATTTACCTCAATACCCCTAAACAACCCAATTGTAAGTATTTTTTAAATAATATTCATAAAAAAATAAAATAATTAAAAACCATCCTGAGACAATTTTAATATTTATTTGGAAACAATAATATTTACCATAAATAAAATAATGAAGCGAAAAATACATTCTCTCGAATAAACCGTAAACCGTAAGTATATTCCGATTTTATACTATGGCACGCATAAACCATTTTTATTCTAATACCATTGACAGGCATACAAAGCAGTACTCTAAGACCAGAAAGTCCCGAAGAAACGTGCTCAACTTTTTGGCTCAGCTCTGGTGCTCTCTTCGGTCCCAAGCAAATCGATGCACCCCCTTTTTTTTCCTTTGGTTTGTTTTTATTTTTCCGTCGATCTTGTTTTCCGTGCTGAGCACCAATGCTACCGACGTGCCAGGAAGGCAACCCGCATAAACGCGAACCATAAATTGACCTTACCGAAAATGGTTAAAAATTGTTTATAATCCTTCAACAGAAATGGTTATGGAACTTTACAAGAACGTTTAATGATAAAGTTTTAACCTTATGTATTATGGTTTTTTGGAAGCGGACCTTACAAATAATGAGTTGTTAAGAACCATTACCATTCCAAATTCTTGTTTTCTCCATATATTTTCGGGAGGAGGACTATATTAGAACCTTTTAACTTATGGTTTGAGAACATTAATGGTTATGGTTATGGTAGTCAGTAAGGTCCATGAATAGTTTTGTAACATCGATCAACTTTATGTGGAATATATCGCGAATTGGTTGCCTGTAAATTACTGATTACCAATTCACGATATATTTCACGTAAAGTTGAGCGATAATACAAAACCATTAATGGACCTTACTGACTATCATAACCATAACCATTAATGTTCTCAAACCATAAGTAAAAACGTTCTAATATAGTTCTCTTTTCGAAAATGTATGGAGAAAACAAGAATTTTGAATGGTAATGGTTCTTAACAACCCATTATTTGTGAGGTCCGCTTTCAAAAAACAATAATACATAAGGTTAAAACTTTATCACACAAACATTCATGTAAAGTTCCATAATCATTTCAGTTAAAGTTTAGGAGGGATTATAAACAATTTATAATTATTATCGGTAAGGTCAAGTTATGGTTCGCGTTTATGCGGGAGCTCCCACACCTGGACCCTATACCTATCGACCCATCAACTCATGAACCGGGGACCAACGGCTTTACTCCCCCTTCCCCGAAGGAAGGCATGATCCAGAGATGTTATGCCTCAGAACATCCCGGCGTCGCCTACTGGTATTGAACCCAGGCCTGTTGGGGTGAGAGGTAATCACGCTTACCACTACACCACCGGCGCTGTTGATGCACCCCTCGAAATATAGGAAAATCCATGAACCCCTAATTTTATCTGTCAAACTTTCATAGCGAATCAAAACAAACATAGTGTAGTACTAGAATTTCGACTAGAATGGGGTACGTTAATCGATTTGCTTGGGACCAATAGGCTAGGCAAGTAGTGAGCCAATTTAAATTCGATTGATGACAGATGATATCGATTTTCGAAAAAAATAGTTCTGGCAACTCTGATTGACAGCACAACAAAATGCAGTCCCATCAGTTTGTTTCGTCTTTCAAGACTGCCCCCGCAAACGCAGTTGTTGCTGTCGTTTTTGCGGCTTTCGCTGTCAAGCAAGCGTCAAGAGGGTCAAGCCTTCATCCATCATCCGTGTCTGTTTTTGCTCTGGGGGCCGTAGTGTACGCGTTCATTACTTTTTCTCCATTATTTTAGCTTGGTATCAACCGCAAACCTGCTAGTTTTACCTTCACCATTGATATCGAGCTCATCTTGCGCCGGAGGAATTGTTGCATGTTGCGTGAAAAAGCAGCTAGTGGTGTGTGAAGTGCGCGGTTTGTTGTGCTCCGATGGGAGGCCTAGATGTAACGGGATGTTGTAGGCTTTGTTTGAAGGATGCTTCCAGTGCTACCGCGGTCCGAATCGATCTGCAGCAGGAGCAGATCGTTGCGGACCTAATTTATGAGCTATACGCAGTCAATGTAAGCTAGGTTGTGACGAGGGTGGGTTGTGCGGAATGGGTAATGATTGTTTTGTGTTTCTCGCAGATTAAATCCTCCGATCGGGGATCGAAGTTCATTTGTATGCCGTGCTACCGGAATGCCAGCGGTTTGAAAAAGTATCTCGATAGTCATAAGACAAAGACATCACTTGTATCGACGAACCAAAAAATCCTGGAATCGCAGGCCGATGGCTTCCTGGAGGACTCGGATGGTGAGTATGGATATGTTATGGGCTGAATTCGATGGGGTGTTCCAAAATGGTGGCTAGCGGAGATAAGAACCAACGATTTTTCGAACAGGCCAGATAGCACAACAGATGTGACATTATTGCACATTGTAAAAAATGGAATATTTTGGTCAACATTGTTAACCGATTTTTCGGACAGAGGCTCGTATGAGCTTACTTTCCCCACTCGTCCCTAGAAACTGATGTGTTAGTTTCAATATCGGTTTCGTATCAGATTTCAGATTAGGGTATCGATGTCTGATATTTTTTTGTAAAAACATATTCATTGATTTTTTTAAACGGACCATGATCATCACCTCGAAAAAAAGGCCCCTTTGCAAAATTTGGGCTCAGTGGGTCATGATTTAGGGGTACCGCAAAGCGGTCAGTGTTCGAACTTTTTCATTTGAAAAATATCTCAGGTAGCGGGTGCAATTTCGGATTTTAACATTTTTATTATGATGCCAAATGCCTTTAAAAAATCATGAAACGTCGAGATCTACTGCTAACTCGAAACATTTTGTTGTTGTCGAAAATCGACTTTCTGAAACGAAGAAATCAGAATTTGTTGTTTCTTAATACACATAAAATAGACTTTCAACCTTATCCCTAATAAGCAAATACCATAAACGAACGATAACCCAAATAGTCTAACTTTGCCACAAATGGTTTGGATGATACCCCGAACACGTCGTTATGCAAAATAACTATACCATTTTTATTAGGGATGCTGGTTCGTCTCCAAAACATAATCTAGTGTTAACTAAAAATTTTGTTTTGGCAAATATCAACTTTCTGGAACCAATTTTTTTTCGAAATTTCACGAAAAAATTAAAGTTTGAACAAATGAGTTTTTTTTTACAGTTGACTTATAGTACGTTCAGACTACAGAGTTATAACATGTTATAGCGCTATCTTGATGGTGGTTTCTGTGTTGCAATTATTTGACAACCGTTATAACATGTTATAACTCTCCAGTCTGGACAGCGTTTAACACTAGATCTAGAATGTTTCATGCAATTTTAAGTAGTTTGGCATCAAAATAAATTTTGATTTTCAAAAATTCACTAAGGCTATATGAATTTTCACTTAAATTTGACACTTCAAACATAAATTATAATGTTCAAAAATCCCTCTGTTATTGATCGTCCGGTTTTTGATAAGGTGTTTGTCAACATTGATTCCTGGTCTGTCAGAAATAAATCTGGTACAATAGCAGATTTTTTTTTGAAAATTATTCTTCGGTGAATGGACGCTTATGTGGACTGCAGCTCGCTGCTTGCGGGCAGCCTTTTGTTGTGTACTGGAGAATAATGTTCAACGCCACGCGCCGAAAGCACTGCTGCTGTTGCTGATGACGACCGATCGGACACCACCACACACGGTGATTGAATAAGCACCGCTCGGCGAGACCGGAAGGAGTTCGATTTTGAAATCTGTGTTAGGGAACCGCTTTTTTGCAGACAATTGGTGATTGGAGTGGGACATTTTTGTAATTTACGATAGTAACCTATTGAAACTTAATAGTGTTCATTTGGGCAGAATCTTAGAAAATTTTCCAATCGATTGGCTTGTTTAAAATTAAAATCCATCCGCTTTGACAGAGTTATAAGTGGCCAAAACCTGACCACTTTTCGCAACGCGGTAGATTTTGGTTTTTTGAAATTCAACCCCCAATATGTTGGCGAAAGACGTAATTCTACATAAAAATGCATTTTAAGTGATTCGGCATCAATATATTTTTTTTCAATTTCCGAAAGTTCATAAAATCCCAGAAAGACCAGCGGTGTAAAGGGCCAACGTGGAAGACTTCCATCCTGGGCGGCTGCTCGCTTTTGCCTTGACCTGGGCCCAGGTCAGATTCCTATCGACTTGCTTAATTTCCTTCTTGAGGCTCCGCCGCCATGAGCCCCTGGGTCTGCCTCTGCTGTATGGTTAATTTGCTTAACGACGTGTTCTGGGTATCATCCAAACCATTTGTGGAATAGTTCAATGATTTGGGTTATCGTTCGTTTATGGTTATTTTTTATTAGGGAAAGCAGCCCACGGTTCGGTACACGGTCAATTGCACCTACCATGATCTCGTCGATTACGATTAGAAACAGTAGCGGTGATAGTATACATCCTTGTCTCACACCAGCGACTACCCGGATAGGGTCGGACAAGGCTCCGTTATGCAGAACTCTGCACGTGAAAGCCTCATACTGCGCTTCGATGAGGTTGACGATTTTATCCGGGACTCCTTTGCGTCTCAGGGCGCCCCACAGATTCTCGTGATTGAGACGGTCGAAAGCTTTTTCGTAGTCAATGAATACCAAATAAAGGGACTCTTGGAATTCATTGACCTGCTCCAGGATGATGCGGAGCGTGACAATATGGTCCATACAAGATCTTCCGGCACGGAATCCTTTTGTGTGTGCCACTAAGTAAGGGTTCGATTACCGCTCCAGCCGGTGGATCTTTTCGTAAATGGAATTTTTCTTACTGGTCTATAGACCAGTCTACTGGGTTTTGTGTTGCTCGTTGTGTAGTATTAGGTGTTCAGTGCGTGTAACCTCTGGTTGAAGATGGTGTCAACTATCTATTTAAGTGTAAAAAATCTCATAATTCTCACAATTAAGAGCATGGTTAGGGTTCCAGTTGGAACGTGATAGCCAAATGAAGATTAGATTGGACCTTCCTATAATTGTTTGATCTTTGCAGAACTTTTCTTCAAGAACTATTGCTATATATTCTCAATTATTGCTCCCAAGGTTTCCGAACTTTTCAAAGTTCTACAAACTTCTACAAAGCTTCCTGTACTTTGTCAATATTCACTGAACTTCTCCAAAGTTGTCTAAAAATTCCCTGAAATAAATTCTTCAAAATTTCCTTACCTTCTCGCCTAAATCATCTGATTATTGTAGATTCTTCAGAAGCACTTTTAAGCTGTCTTAGACTTTTTTGAATTTATCTTAAGTTCTTGAAGCTCCTCCAAAATTATCTGAGCTTTGCCGTGGTTAACTAAACGTGTTCAAATGTCCTTCAACTATCTCGAAGCTGCTGATCATTTTTTTTTTCTAAATTTCTTTATTTTTCATTGAACTTTCCTGCAGTTCCCTAAACACCCCAAAAGCTTTCTAAACTTCTTCCCAAATATTTTCTGAATTTTATATAGATCATTTTCAGGTTAAATTGCAAAAAAACATCATGCTCGACCTTTTCCGATTTGTATGTAACTTTGTTATGAAGTTTATTATGGGCAATCATTCACATTTGATCTTAAATTCAGTTTTTAATTTCTTGAAAAACTCACAAAATAACTTTCCATTGTATGAAAATGTCCCTCATAATTGAAATGACGTCTGAGACAAATTTGTATGATAAATAAACAAACATGTATTCATTAGAGTTGTATTATCTTGCTAAATTCTCGACAGTATCACGAACGCAACTCATCCCACAGTATTGTTTACCTCTCAATTCCAGACGATGTTGTCTACTGTGAATCGCGGACCGGTTATCGTCCACCGATTTCATCTCCGGTGGATATGCTATTGAATCTGAAAGACTGCATGCGGAGTAAACGCTTTCGGGAAGCATTGAACGACCAGCACGAATTGGGTTACGTTCTGTTGTCGGGGCCGATCTATCAGAAGGCTACCGAGACCGTGCTGGACGAGTGGCATCCGATTCAGTTGTACTGCCAAAAATGCCGGCGAAAATTCGAAGATCAGATCAAGTTTGACGATCACACAATCTCATGTAAGTTCAAATGTATTTTCTGTAGCCGAAATTATACGCACGAGGAATCCCTTCGATTACATTCATGCCCTAAACGGGACAAGCATATTAAATCGAAGAAGCGCAAATTTAAACCGACACTTCCGGCTACTAAAATTACACCGCCTACTGCGGAGGAGCAAAAGACTGCTGCAGTTGAAAGTACAGAACAGGGCAAAGATAACGCAACTGTACTGCCGATTCCGGGTTCTTTACCTGCTCCCAGTGAGGCCCCTCGTATCGAAGGAGAGGCAAGTTTGGACGCAGAATTGACGAATCTACTGGAGAGGTGGTATGGTCAAGGAGAGGAAATCGAAGAACTCAGTCATCTTAGCGTAGGAGAGATTGATGCGCCACAGGACAATGGTACTTTCATCAACTCTGAATTATATAGTAGGATCATCGAGAGCAGATTGCTGAACAATTCGTCTGGGTCAAAACCCGCTATTTCGGTTAAGCCCATGAGCCAGTTGGTTGAAACACCTGTAGAACAGATGCTGCCTTCTACGGTGCCAGAAATGGCGTCCACTTATAATCCTCCAGTAGATGTGATAGAAATCGATGACGACGATGACGTGGTTCCCTCTACTAGTGCTCCAGTGGCGGATAAAGCTGAGCAAGCGCTGAGCGAAAAAGATATCCTGAGCATTGTCAAACATTTCCGAGGTATTGATGAAAACGAATCATATCTTGTCAAAGCAAAGATCAATGGAACTCAAAAATTGATTTGCATCAGTAAACGAAAGAATGATGGTGGTATTCAAAGTTCTATAGTGAACACGGGTTCCAATAGTAATTCAGCTCTTCAGACAGGCAGCAGAAAACTTCCGCAGAAGCAAATTGTGATAACACCCACAGCTAAGCTACCGTCAATCGTACACAGAGCCAATACAGTGGTGCAACCGGCTTCTACGAAACCTACGTTGATTGTGAAGAACGTTTCCGATATTAACGGGGCTCCCATTCCATCAGTGGCCACCAGTTCAAGAGGTCCTCAATTGAAAATTTCACACGTGCAGTCTTTAGTTTCGGATCCTGGGTTGACTCAAAACTCTAGATTGACAAATCAGCAAAGGATACTGAATGGACTTCCTCAGCGCATCGCACCAGGTACACCTGCGACGGCTACTAGAAAAGTACCGACTGCATCATTCACCGTAAGGTCTGCTGTGCCAAAACAGTCGGCTGGCGTTGTCAACAAACCCGCTCCGCAAAGAATTATAGTCGGTAGTAATTCGTTGAAGTTTACCGGTGGCAGTGGCTCTTCACGTTTTCTGCCCATTGCTCCGAAGCCAAACGTAGGGCCAAGTCCGCCAAGGACTTCAGCTCAGCAGCGGATAATCGTACAGCGGAAACAAGTTCAAACGATTATTCAATCATCGACGGTGACTCGCACGAGTAGCGAAGGTAGTATTCAATCTACTACGAGCAGTAGTTGCACTACCGATATTAACAATTCCCTATTGAGATCACAACTGCTTCAGCAACCACAGAAAATATATCCGACCGCAAGTGGGGCTGCTCAGAATGGAAATCGATCCGCTGCGTCCAAAGCATTAGATGGACTTTCCGGCACAACTAAACAGTTCATGGTAAACAACACGACCATAAAACGGTTGAATTAATCTCACACTAGCCAACTCCTACTCCTAGCAATGCAGAAGCAGAACTAGGGAACAGGTATTTATACTGGTAACAAATTATAACATTCTTCAGTACACAATGGAATTGGAATTGTGCGATACATTGAACGTGTAGGTTATTTCGGTATAATAAAGCACTTATAAGTGTAATTAAGTTGTCGCGGGTTATTCGTATATCACAGCTCCATTATCGAAATTCCTTAGTTGACAGTAATGCTGCATGACAAATGAATTTTTCTGAAAAATATCCAAAATACTACAGAGAGGTTGACAAATTCTTCCAGCTTTTATTCTATTTGTGGTATACTGCGGTTCATACGTCTAAAAGATCATCACTCATAGCACTTGACTGATAAATGTCGTTAAATTTCCTGTAGTTCACCAACAACCTAACAATATGACCACCAAAACTCACATTTGTTACATTGTGCTGCTTTTCGAGGTCATTAATAAATTTTATTCAAACTTGACAGTACCATCTATGACAATGTAGCAGAACATTTTCGAACTCCGGTTGGTGTCTTCGCTAATACATAGTGCGACCGTCATAACCTCCAAAGCGACTTCATTGATTATTGAATTCATAGTCGTTAAGAAAATAGCATCCAATATTACCTTATTTAATTTATTTTCATATTTAAACATATACAACCTTAAACCTAAACGCGAACGCAAAGTTACTTCTCAAGGGGAGCATAATTCAACAATTTTTCAATCAGATCGACGTGACCCAGCAACATACGGCGACAGCAGTACCGCTTCAAGCCAAGAGCATCCAAAGCATCACTGTAATCGAATAAAATAGGTAGAATGTTATTCAGTACAGTATTCATCCACCCAGCCTGCAGTGGAGCTCACCCTTCCGTGTATTCGGCCTGCAGCAATCCGAGATAGGCTTCCCATTTGTTGCCGATTACTTTGCCGCATGTGAAGCAACGCACCGGGATAATCATCTTCGGGTTGATTCCAGTCGTAGCCTTTTGGCTGAAAATGATAATTATTTCCAACTTACTATAATGGATGAACACAAAACGTAGAGTGGTGAACAGTTTTCTTACCAGGCAGGATTGAGGAAATTCTAGTAAAATTCGGCCTTTTCCCGCAGAGCTTCTAGGAACGCGTTGATGCACTTCTGTCGTGAGTCTCGTACTAATTTCGATTCAAAACAAAAACTTGACAGCTTGCTTTCGAAGCAGTTTGACAGCTGTCAGTTTCTTTCTGAACCCATTGGAAATTAAATGGAATCGATGGGAGTCACGGAGACATTCAGATACTCATCGATGATTAAAATATAATCACTTTTTATTTCTGTGTGAAATTTTACTCATTAATGTGTTTACGCTGGTTACCGTGCACGTGGTGTGGAGTCACTCGAAATGATTGTCAAAAAAATCCAACTGGTGCTGTAAAAAAAAAATCCAATGAGCAGGACCAACACCAAGGCTTACGTCCTTAAACAGATTTGATCAAAAGATAAAGTATTAGCAACAATCAATACGAAACTAACGATTTTAAATTGGCTCACTACTTGACTAGCATATTGGTCCCAAGCAAATCGATTAACGTAACCCATTCGAGTCAAAATTCTAGTACTACACAATGTTTGTTTTGATTCGCTATGAAAGTTTGACAGATAAAATGAGGGGTTATTGGATTTTCCTATGTTTCGAGGGGTGCATCGATTAGCTTGGGACCGAAGATAGTACCAGAGCTGAGCCAAAAAGTTGAGCACGTTATTTCGGGACCTTCTAGTCTTAGAGTTACCGCTATGGTATTAGAATAGAGGCAACTCTAAGACCAGAATGTTTGGGTTGTGTCGTTTGAAGTGTAAACGTTTAAATTTGATCGTTTACACGTTAAACAACACAATCCAAACTTCAAATCTTATGTTCCCTACCAGAAACTCAGCCAGATTGTGGCGGCCATAAACGATCGTAAAATACTGGATACGAATAATTCCGGACTGATTAATCATTTTGGAAACAAACACGTTAATAGCCGATTTTTTTTTGTTCGACACATAGTTTTTCGTATGAACGGTTTGCAAAAGGTCTTATTAATTTCTGGATAACAATTCGAGTTTAAGGTTCGTTTAAGGCATTTTGAAATGTTGAGCTAGATATTTAACCTGGTTTGTTTTAAAAATGATGAACAGCAGCAGAAGACTTATATTTCACCGTGGATGATTTTAACTGTCTTGACAACTAAAATCCGAATTGAGATGCAGAATAATTTATCCTCAACATCGGAGTCACACTCAGGACCTATGGAAACCTGGCTAATTGCCTGGACACGTCCTTTCCCAGTCAGGTATGCTTTGAACCCGACCAATGTTCTTCAAATAATATCTACTCGGACAGTGCCCAGTTACTAGGCCAGTGTATATACTAAGAGTCCGTTTATTGAGCTCCAAGAGCTTTTTGGTATGTGTTACATTTGAAGTTATAAATCTATTCGACTGGTTGCACTTCGTGACGGCCATCCAGTTGGCCATCACCCTTTGTTCTTCCCAGTTCCATTTTTACCGTACAGTTTGGTTCTGCGCCAATAAACGGTGAATTGGAACCTAATTTTGCGAGATCGTCTGCCCTTTCATTCCCTTCAAAGCCACAGTGTCCAAGAACCCAATATAAGTTTACTGAGTTCTGTTTGCACAGCTGTCGCAACAAGAGAATACATTCCCAGACAATCTTTGATGTACATTTGTAAGCACGAAGCGCTTTTAGTGCTGCTTGACTGTCAGAAAACATACAGATATTTGCACATTTATATTTTCTCCTTAGGCAAACACTTACACATTCAAGTATGGCCACGATTTCCGCTTGAAACACTGTTGGACAATATCCCATCGCTACTGAAATATTTGTCCCAGGGCCAAAGATTCCTGCACCTGTTTGTGCTTCAATTTTTGAGCCATCTGTGAAAAATATGATTGAGCCTTGACGAACGCTAGGACCACCGACTTCCCAATCCGAACGCAACATTTCACATACGTTGAAGGGAGTGTCATAATTGTCCTCTGGTTTCATCCAGTCTCCATTCATACTCATCACTGGTCCTCTTTGGAAGTATTGTTAAATGCTTAGGTGATCAACCCGATTACCAGGCATGACTTTTTTAGATCTTTTGAGCCTTAGAGCACTTCTTTCCGCTTCTAGTTGCACGTATTCATGCAAGGGTAGTAGATTGAGAATTGCATCTAACGCTTTTGATGGGGTGCTGCGCATCGCACCCTTTATAGCAATACATGCTAGACGTTGTAGTTTTGCCAGCTTGCCAGACAAAAAGTTAGGTTTCACGATAATAAAAAAAATTAGCTATAAGAGGAAAAGGAGACCAGAAACGACTATTAAATTAAAATGTAAACAAACTAGAAAATTAATTGTAAATAATCTCTGTCTTTTCCTTGGCCTTTTTAATCATTTTAATTGGGTTTCTAAATTTTGAAAAATGTATCGGTTTTTATACATCATCTGGAAGAGCTTCGTTATCTGAGTACATCGATATTTTTTACGAACCCACATATTTTCATCTTGATGTTCAAATCAGGATTTAAAGCAAAAAAATAACTTCACTGTTTGGCACCAAACTAACAAACTGACAGCTCGCTCCCATACAAAGTGACACCGAGGGGCGCTAATAAGGTGATTATTGCAAATGTAATCGTACTTATTTAAAATAGTTCCAGTGTACCAAAATTGATGAAATCAGTGCCAACATTTCAAAGGGGCGTAATTGCTTTTGTAAACAATGGCTTTAGCCGTCGATTTCTCCCAAATAAAAGCACACTCATGAAAATTAATTACATCAACAGGAAGAGAAATGTTTCCTCTACCAGCTAGCATTGTTAATTTGGAAGAGTGAGCATTTATTTGCGAGAAATCAACGGCTAAAGCCATTGTTTACAAATGCAATTACGCCCCTTTGAAATGTTGGCACTGAAATGTTGGGTCAGGGTTCCATTTTTAATGCAGATTACGAATATGCATTTACCTCAATACCCTTAAAGAAACCAATTATTATCTTGCGTATCATTTGAAAAGAGCCAAGAGCCAAAATATTAGCAAACCAGACAATGGATTGTAATCAATCTGCATTTTTATTCGGTATCTCAGCACACAACAACCAAATGGTTGACCGTTAGCGTGTGGACCTTGGCGAGGACCAATGAATGATTCGAAAAATTTCTTTTATCAGCCGATTTTAAAATTGAGTAATTTATAATGATTTTTACCGGATACCGGTTATGCGGAACATTCTTACACGATTTGTAGCTAGCAAGCCGTGCTATAGAATGGTATCAAAACCCGATTTGATTACATTTTGACAGATCAGAGCAAATCAAAGTTACTCTGAATAACCATAGAGGTAACTCTAAGACTAGTAGGTCCCGAAGAAACGTGCTCAACTTTTTGGCTCGGCTCTGGTACTATCTTCGGTCCCAAGCTAATCGATGCACCCCTCGAAACATAGGAAAATCCAATAACCCCTCATTTTATCTGTCAAACTTTGATAGCGAATCAAAACAAACATTGTGTAGTACTAGAATTTTGACTCGAATGGGTTACGTTAATCGATTTGCTTGGGACCAATAGACTAGTCAAGTAGTGAGCCAATTTAAAATCGTTAGTTTCGTATTGATTGTTGCTAATACTTTATCTTTTGATCAAATCTGTTTAAGGACAAGCCTTGGTGTTTGTCCTGATCATTGGATTTTTTTTTACAGCACCAGTTGGATTTTTTTTGACAATCATTTCGAGTGACTCCGCACCACGTGCACGATAACCAGCGTAAACAAATTAATGAGTAAAATTTAGTTTCGTATTGATTGTTGGAATAACTCTCAGCTAAAGAAACAGTCGCATTAAAGCCGTCGTCCCCCTTCCACGGCTTCAAATTCAATTCACTTTTGACGTAATTAAGGTGACTTGACTCAATTTTGAGTTGGTCTAATCTACCGTGCAAATACCTACTTACTTTTTTCACTGGGATCTACTTTGAGTTAACTATCTTGATGGCAACACTGGACTTTTATGGAGCGCAGCAGATGGCAATGCATTTCTGAAATGCAGTTGGTATCATGCAGAATGAGCCACCCTGAACAAACAAAACAAAAATAGACAGGTAATGAAAATTAATTTAAACCATTTTGCTTCCAGATATTTTCCTCTCCATCTACGAAAGAGTGCTAAACATGTAGTGAATACAACTGTGAATCAAGGAAAAGTCAGTTTAGTTTTTGTTAACTTGTTATTTTAATCGCCTGCATAATAATATGATCACACATCATAATCTATCGCGACCTCTGAAGCAGGGGACGTAAAATAAATTTGAAAACGCAACAACCAGAAGGAAAATCGAACCAAACGGGAGATAAGGAGGTGAGTAATCAATAGCGTTAATCTTTTCTGATTCAATTATCGCACATGTAATTAAATTAAATTGAGCATATAAACTGAAGGATTGTGTATTCTTCTATTTTTTTTTTAGATCGTCGCAATTGTCGTGCTGATCCGTCGACAGTGCTAACGACGAAACCCGAGTGATCGCTTTTGTTTTTGACCGAAAAAGGAAGATTTAATTTAGTGGAGGGATTCTGCGTAGTGATTGGATCGAAAAGGGTAAGTGTGCTGAATTTGGTTCATTTCGTTTTGCTGAATAAATATTTGAATTTTATTTTAGCAAATTGCATAACTTGTCCTAATTTGGCTGCTTAAATGCGAAGGTTGGTGGAAATGTCTCGTTTGCAAGTGGTGCTGGCACTGCTGCTCAACATGGGGTCAGGAACGCCGCAGGCAGAAGCTTACAACGATTTACCGGTGAGCAACATTCCTATCTACGAGGATGGGATTTACTTCGAGAATCTGAAACCGGTAAAAATACAGATCAGCACCTGGACGCTACAGTCGGAGTATGACCTGAAAGAGTTTGTCGACGATATTTCGTTGGCCAACACCAGTGTGAACAAGTTGATTAAGGCTTGCAACGAAATGATGACCAAGTTTCCGGGAAGTTGCGAAAGTATTGGCAACATTGTAGAGTTGACCCGGGACTTGAACGACTTCCAGAGCCTGTTGAATAGTCTGTGTGAGGAAAAAAGCCGCAGCAAGAGAGGCATTTTGAAGTCCTGGTTCGGGCTGATGGACGACGAGGATAAAGAGCAAATTGATGACAATTTTAAGAAAGTCAACCAACAGATGGAAACGCAATCGACGAAAGTGGACCATTTCTTCGACAGTACGAACAAGGCGATGGCGGTGCTGAGTGGCAATATGTTCCAATTGGATCCGAAGAAACCGGGGACGATCGATTACAGCCGCGAAGGTCAGCTACTCATGATGGATATTCTGTTGAATAAAATCGTTAGAAAGAAAGAGCTGTTCATGAAATTTCTTCAATCGTCGAGTTCGGTTTCGCTGAGTGACGATATCGTAAACCCTACCCGTTTGCTGAAGGAACTCGAAAAGCTACAGAAAATCCTTCCGGAAGATTTTACATTCCCGGTTCAACTCACATTGCGGGATGTAATCAAGATTTATCCTCTTTCGAAGGTTGTTGCTTATGTGGACGATTGCAAAATGAAGGTAAGCATCCTTCTGCCGCTATGCAACAAAATTGACTATATAACTGTCAAAGGAACAAGCGTACCGATGATGCAGGACGGCATCCTGAAGATGTTTCCCCTGGAGAATGACGTGCTGGTGTACAATAACGAGCACCACCTTGGAATGATCATGGAGTACGATGAGTACCAAAGCTGCAACCACTTGAATAGCTTTGCCTTGTGCAACACCCATCACTTGATCAAAAATCTTACCGCGGCAGAGGATTGCATCGTGACATCGTTTTTCAAACGTACTGGTGCAGATTCGGACTGCCGGGTCAGTCGTCTTCAGCTGCGTCACCAAATCTGGATCCAACTGGCCGATCCCAATCGCTGGATCTACGCCGTCCCGAATCGTACAATGATAGATGTCAACTTTGGCATTGGAAACAAAAAGTCCATCGAGCTCAGTGGCGTCGGAATGCTCAAACTAACCCGAATGTGCCATGTCCGTTCGCAGGATATCGTCCTCCAATACATCCCCCAGTTGCGAGGTTCGATGGAAAGTAACTCGCTCGGCTTTCAAGTCCCGGCCGTAGTGACACGTGATCAACCGCGAGTCATTTCCGCCAGCGACAACAACAAGGTAATCCTGGCCGGTCAAAACACGGAAAACGTCCTCCAGGACCGAACCCACCTCGCCGGAATTTACTACGAACCGTCGGCGTTTTCCCCGTGGGCCATCGTTGGCATCGTCTGTGGAGTGTTCATCGTGACTGCGTTAGCCGTCCAGGTCTACTTCAAAATAATAAATGAGAAACGCCACCAGGCTTTGGTGCTTGCACGGATGCAACAGCAGGAACAGGGCGACCCGAACGGAGCCTATCTTAACGAGAGTTTGACAAGCAACGGATCGGCGAACAATTCCCAGCAGGCGTTTATCCCCGTACACGGGGGACGGCAACCAACGGCGCCACCGTTCGGATCGAATAACTAGTCGGGAGGAGTTTTTGCCAAACAGAGTGGAATGGAGTGCCTTTGAATTTGTTTGAAGTTATTTTTTTTTCGTGTCTGATAGGCTGTGCTGCATTATTTCTAAGAATTCGAGTAACAGTTGTGGGAGTTTTTTCGCTGTCGATCAACGGAAAGGATTGATGGATAAGTTAAGATGGAGGTAAACGATGGTTGAAGACAAATTACACATAAGACTTAAGAAACAAGTGGCTTACAATCAACATTAATGCATTATATGGGAGGCTTTGCCGATTATTCGCACAACCTTTGAACTTGTAATAGAAAACGAATAAATTTATTGTAAAAACTAAATTGAAAAAGTTTAATCTACAGTACCACAGTGAGTACCACAACTAATCCCACATTGCAGGCCATATTAACCTTACCTTACGAGTCATGCAAGGTCTGGGTTTCCTTAACTGTACACAGAAGTTGTCGCCATTACACGCGGGTCATATTAAACTTAGGGGCTATTCATAAACTACTTAGACCATTTCTGAGACATTTTAGACTTTTAGACTCCCCTTCCCCCGCGTAGACAGTCGTTCATACAAAGTTGGCTTCGGCAATACCTTAACCTATTATCGTCAGGGGGTAAACAAGGTCCTTGAGAGCTCAACTTTGGCATGTGGATTCATTGTGTTTCTGAGCAACTATTGGCCAAATTTGAGTGCTCTACGACTTTGTTTACCCCCTGACGATAAAAGGTTAAGGTATTGCCGAAGCCAACTTTTCCCCTATAATTATGGACAGAAGCTTCAGTGAGTTCATGAGCATGAGCATGATTGACCGCCCACGGTTGCTGCTCTGCTAGGGTTGATGCATATATTATGTCACGCTCTAAGGGGGGAGCGGGGGGGGGGGTGGTCTAAGATTTTTTGACAAGCAATGCATTAGGTATAGGAAAAACGTCACGATAGGGGGGAGGGGTAATATTTTGCTCGATTTAGCGTGACATAATTAATGCATGGGCCCTTATTGCTAGATCAGCTGCAATTACACAGAGAACCAACAGATGATGTTTGGGACTAACATTCATCCTCAATGTGGCACGGTAGCCAATTTGCAGTAGCTCGTTCCGCTCGGCTAGCAAACGGGTATTCATTGTGAAACCTGAAAGCAGTTCCCTTGTTCTTGACCTCCGCAACTCCAACTCCTAACTTCGTGCACAATTTGGAACTCAGGTTCAACCGAGGATTGCACACCCTATTAAAAGCACTTTTATTTGGAAACCGTAAGTCTCGCCGTAAGTTTGAGGAGAAAAAACATACAGGAAAAATTAAAACGTCTATTTTCAACAGTAGCCTACTGCGATCCTTCTGGAAGTTTCGTGTGTTGCAGTTTAATTTTTTACAGAACTTAGAACTTTCGAGTAGTTTGATGCAATTTTGAAACTCAGCATTGAGGGCGTTCGCAATGCTGAGTTTCAAAATTTGTTTTAAACGACTCGACAATTCTATAATTTGAAACTGTCAAAAATAAAACTGAAACACGATCAGCGCAACGCATAATCATCAAGTTCCATAAACTTTACTGCACGGTAAGAAAAAAGTACCCAAAATTAAGTTTTAAATAATAATTAAAAGTTCAGGAAACTTTCTTGAAGTGCAGATTTTTCTTTAAAGTTCAGCTAACTTTGTAAAAGCTCACCAAACATCAGTGAAATTCGTAGAGTTGCATCGAACTGCTTCGGTAACTCTTCTTCTACGTACCTGAAAAAGTTATAAGACAACGACACTTCATACACCTCGCAGCTCGTAATTGACTGTAAGGGCTGAATGAGGCTATTCATACTGTCGCTAATGTGATTAGTAACACTTATGCTTCGTTTGACTCTAATGTGCCTTTAACTGTTTTCACTAGAACACTGTCCTGATTTTGAATGTTTCTTTGGTATTATTATTATATTTTGTTTTATGCATTAAGACCAACATATGTCAGATGAATCATGAGCTAAATTTAGTGAAATTATTTGAAGTTCTGAGATCATGGAAAAGTTCAGAAAACTTCGTAGAAGTGGGAACTTTATACAAGTTTAGGTATCTTCGTAGAAGTTTATTGTTTAGGGGACCTCTTTATTATTCAGGGACCGTTTTTATAACTTCAGAGCTTTGATGAAACCTCATGGACTTGAAATAGTTCAGAGAATTCCGCACAAATTCAGGAAATTTAATGCGTCGAACTTTGCGGAAAATCAACGAGAAACGTAGACGTGAAGCAAGTTTTGATGAAGTTTTGTGGAGTGCGAAATAATTCGAGGAACTGCGTATAACTTCATAGAAGTAAAGGGCATTTTGAAAAAGTTCAGGGAATTTCGTAAAGATTGAAGACTTCAGGGATCTTCGTTTCAGTTTAGGAAACTTCTAGCAGTTTGTCAGAGATCCTAAAAATCTCAATGAACTTCCTGAAGATGAAGATTTTGGACCGTCGTTTAATTTCAAGGTACTTTGAAATTTGAGTAAATTTTCTAAAACTTAAGCAAATTTTGTAGATGTTCAGGAAACGTTGCATAAGTAACAGGATTTTCTTTCAGATATGCTCCCTAGACAGACAGGAAGTTTTAAAAGATAAGCATTTGCTGATGTTCTTCTGATCTGAATTAGCGAGTTGCTAAAAAAAAAGGATGACTTAAGAATGTGCTTAAATTTTTGAATATCATAATTTTTCAAATGGATAGATCAACTTTCAACATGGTATTTTCCAAATTTAAACCATACACTCTGGCAATATGTTGGAAACATGGTGATTTGATTGGTTGATCTGTTGCAGGTTGTAGCAATGGCTGTACCACTTTCTGGTTTGTTGTAGCGAGATAGTGGCGCTTGGTGGTCACTTTGTGGAATTGGTGCCGATACTCAGGCACTTTCTTCTGACACTGTTGGTATACAAAGGCAAGGTCGCCCATTATCTAACCGAAAAGGTTATTTCTTCTTAACGATTACGGACATCGACGCGAAAACGATGCCATCAAAACCCGCAGAGCAATGGTCAGCAGAAGCCACCTAGATCGTACCGTGCCAACCAGAAAGCGATTTGAAGGAACGGAACAGAAAGTCGGTAGACTTGGTGATATTAATAATTGGAATGGTAAATATATCACTGCACTGGTCTACACGCTCATCTGAGTTAAAGCCAACGATGGCAGCTCATGTCACTATTTTGCTGCATCTATTTAGCATAGACCGCGCCATCACCCAGTGGGTCACCGCTTCTGTTATAAAATTTATCTGTGATTCGCTGTTCATCGTTCGAAAGGACAACATCGAGAAATAGAACAAGGCTTGTGAATTTTTTTATCGCGTCGAATTTTTCCACATATAATCAGATTTTGATAATCCAAAAGTGTAAATAGTGTTGTACATATGCCTAGTGTTAATTTTTTATTGATATAATTAGTAAGTAAGTACTCCATTCATATTATTGTTTAGGGTTAAGACGATTGCCAGTAGATAAGGGAATTTGGAGACTTGGATTGATCGGGGTAGGGACGTCCGTGCGGCGTATGCCTAGGAGCTGAAAATGGAAGTTGAGGACGAAGACGGACGGAATGGTGATGATCCCTTGGAGAAGGGATTCACCATTGTACCAGAGAAAAGGAAACTGAGGTCAAACAATTTTAATAAATATGACATAGAAAATGGCGGCGACAACAAGAGGAACAAGACAATGCAAGGTAGGAACACTAACACGCTCACAGCTCAAAATCAAAATGGCGATTCACAAAATGAGAACAGGACAGACAAATCGATTCACACAAACACACTACATCAAACAACAAGTACATTGACTAACATAAACACACAGCAACGAACAGCAGGTACATCAGGTACAAATAATGGTAAACTAACACTACGACAAAATAAGGACCGAACTGATGAGGAGTATAAAGATGGCTGGGTGAAAAATACGGTGTTTACCACCTTTTTTATCGAAAGAGAAACAGATGAGCAAACCCCAACTCGTAAATATGAAAACAGTAAAGATCCGATGGAGGTTGCTAAGGCTCTGAACCATTTGGTGGATTATTTTAACTTTTGGTTAAAATTTGACAGATGAAAAGTTATCGATTAACCCTGCTATCCGAGCATGGTTATTTCTGACAGACAAGAAGTTAAATTTTGACAACCGTGGCTCGAAAACCGGTCGATCGACAGCACGGGGATTTTCGAACATAGAAAATAACTTTCGAAATGTCACTTTTAACCACGAGTTAAATTTAACTCGGCAAATGGTTCACAGCCTAAGATGCTCATGAACATAAAGGTGGACAATTACAAAGAGATGAAAGCAGTGGGTAGAGGTCGTTTTCAATTAACATTTCATAAACCTAGGGACGCAGAACAGTTGATTAATTCTAAGCTATTGACAGAAGAGTTTAAGTTTAAGGTTTATGTACCGGCCAGATTTAAGCAAACGATAGGAGTGGTCAGGGATGTTGCAAAATCATTGACGGAGGATGATATATTGAAAAACATGTACAGTGGAAATATTAAAATAGAAGAGGTTGAACGAATTATGAAAAAGACATCCGAAATGAATTTAGTTCTAACATATTCGATAAAGATATACGCGAAGGGACAACATCTGCCAAAATCAGTGGAAAGTTATGGAGTGAATGCTCACTGCGAAGCATATGTGTTTCCTCTGAGAATTTGCTACAAATGTTGGAGGTACGGACACAGTAAGAAGTTTTGTAAGGCAAACTCAGTAAAATGTTGCAAATGTGGACTTGAACATGACGAAGAGGAATGTGAGACAGAAGTATTGAAATGTATAAACTGTGGAGGAGCCCATAAGGCATCAGATAAAAATTGTCCGGAAAGAGACAGGCAAGATAAAATAAGAATTGAAATGGCAGAAAACAAAACCTCATTCTTTGAGGCGGAACAAAAATATCCGAGGAAGAAAAAGTCAGTACAAAGTAGACTGAATTCGAATAAAGACTATCCTTCGTTGCCGAATAGAAATACTGAAAATGATATTACAGACTGGAATTACAAAAATAAGGATGCTACTTCCGAAGGTGGATCTTCGAGTAATGTCAGGACTGGAACATTGAGTAATAACTTGACGAAAGGCTCGGAAGGAAATTGGAAATGGTCAAGGGGAGGATTTTTGAGAGATAAATCTGTTGGAACTATTTATTGGCGCAACAAGAGAATCGTCCAAGATCTCGCAAGCAGGACTTACCCGTTCAACGGTCGACTAGTGAAAGAGCGAGTGCTTGACTTCGCTGCACAATCGAGGCCCGAATCTATCGGGAAACCGATCGAG